TTCTCTGTATTTAATAAAATCACTTTTTATTTAGTAATTTACTCAGAGTGTATATTAATACCTGGGGGAGCAAACAGCTGTGCATATCTCTCTCAGTGTTATAGAGGGCAAACAATTTATGAGTTTGCCCTGCATAAGCTTTATGTAGGGTAAAACAGATTTATTTGGGGTTAGACCCCATTGGGAGTTGGGCATCTGAGTGCTAAAGACAAGCACACTTCTGTGAGCTGTTTTCAGGTAAACTTGCAGCTTTGGGACAAGTGATTCAGACCCTGTGTCTGTGTCTGGAGCCAGACGGGAGTGTCTGGCTCAGCAAGACAGAGTGCTGGAGTCCTGAGCTGGCAGGGAAAACAGAAGCAGGGGTAGTCTTTGCACATTAGGTGGCAGCTCCCAAGGGGGTTTCTGTGATCCAACCCGTCACAGTAAATTAGAGGCGCAATAAGTCAATCATGTGGCTCCAGTTACCGTGAGGGCGGTAACAAAAACTGAATCTGACCCAAATGATACACAGCAACAAGGCCAAACTATCACGGAGGTTTCCAGTTTTACCCCAGAGCAGGTACTCATTTAGACCCCTTGGTAGGGATATGTGTCTGGACTGGATGGTGAAGGGGTTCTTGTGACCTGGGTGGAGGTCGGCAGGCTATGAGGTTTTAGCCTAGGCACGTGCTGATGCTTCTGACTGGGCAGTAATAAAGATCACTGGGGAGCGGTTAGATGCGAACGGTGTTCTTGCTACTCGATGGGACTGGGAAAAGGGAGCAATGAAGGTAGTGATGTCGGCCTGAGAACTGGGGAAATTGTTCCACAGAACAGAACAGAACAGGGCCCCGGTGAATCCTTGGAATTGTATGTTATTAAAAAGAAGGTACTGGCCATTGCTGCTGGGGTGGTACCAATGATGATTGGAACGGCCCCTGATTTCAATACATTAGCCTTTAAGACTACGGTGTTAGATTGAATTCAGAAATGAAGGTGATTTAGGATCCATAGATCCAGGCACCCTGGGTTAAAACAAGACTTTTTTGAGCAATTGTAGTTTAAGACACGCGGGGACAAGCTAGGAAAGGAAATAAGGACAGGAGAATTGAACCTGTCCAGGCGGTAACTTTTGCCAAGAGGAGCCGAGGAGAAAGGGGCTCAGTGCAATATGGGCATGTTAGAGGAAGAGGACTGGGAGGTGCAGTGGGCAGCAGCGGATCAAGAAAGGGAAGTGGATATTGCTGTCAGATGCAAAACAGAGGATGTATGACGGGATTGAGAGTGGAAGCACACAATGGCAGGAGAAGCAAAAGAGAAATAGGATGGAAAGCCCACAGGTGAGTTATTGCAGAGCGTTGTCCAGTTAGAGAGGCAAAAGGAATTGACTGATGGGCTCCTGTAACTCCCATAACGGACCCTGTGCCATCAGTGCCACTCTGATAGGGGTGCCCGCCTTCCCGGACTCCTCCGAGGTAGTGGCCCAACTACAGTTTGGCAAATTGGGGCATCCCATTGTAGGGGCAATAATGGGGAGATTAGGGGAACAAACATGCCCCACTAAGCTAATTGACACCAGTGCATCAGTATGTGTGCTTGGCAAGCAGCGGCTTCCTGGGACCGCTGTAGAAAAAGAAAATTCAAGACACCTAGTATCATATACACGGGAGACAATGAAAGCATTTATCACAAGACCGATCCTGACCTGTATAGGAAATCGGGAGTCATGGGTAAAATGTGTTCAGAAGCAGGATCAAATTGGGAATAGGGGTAAGGAGGATGGAATATTGGGAATGCCTTACCTTAACGAGGGGAGACTCATTGTGGATTTAGCCAAAAAATCACCCCCTCCATTAATGCTGTACACAGGTGTGTGGCTGTAAAGGCCCCGGAAGGAGGGCAAGCCAAAGAAGGGGACCCAGGATTGGACAAGTTTCCTGGGGTATGGGCTGAAAATAAACTGGAGTGTGGGAAAATTGATGCTGAGGTTTTAATCTGAGGGCCTGACCCCACTCCACAGAGTGAATCCAGTATCCTCAGGAGGTAGAGGAAGGAATAAAATCTAACACTGAACTTTTGTTAGAACAGGTGTTGTGTAAATGGCTAGTACTAATAATGCCCCGATTTGGCCTGTACTGAAAGGGGATGGGAAGACCTGGAGAATGACAGGGGGTTTTAGAGCATTAAATGCAGTAACCCCTGCCACTGCTTCGGTAGTAGCTAAGTACCAAAAAGTAAAAAGAAGAACAGGAGTACTTGTGGCACCTTAGAGACTAACAAATTTATTAGAGCATAAGCTTTCGTGGACTGCAGCCCACTGCATC